ATATGTTCTATTCTTTATAATATAATAAATATGTTTATACTGTAAGAAATATATATGTCATATATATATTAGGAATTGAATCCAGGGCCTTTGCACTGAGCTATACCCTCAGGCCTTTTTTATTTTTTATTTTGAGATAAGTTCTCACTAAGTCACTAAGTAACCCAGGCCATTCTCAATCTTGTGAACCTCCTGCCTCAGCCTCTCACAGTACTGGGATATTAGGGTTGTGCCACTGTACTCAGCTAATAAGATACTTTTTTATGTATAAAGCTTTATAGATATCTAATTTTCAATGCTGGATTTCTGGAAAACAATTTGCTGATATGTATCATGAGTCTTAAACATGTTCATATCCTAAGAAACACTTTTAAATGGAGACAAGTATTTTTGTTCAGGATTATTTACTATCACATTATTCATAATAGGAAAACTTTAGAAATAGAAGAAAAATCTTCTGTTTGAGTAAATTGCATAGTCATTTTAGATACATAACTGTGAAAACTTTTGAGAAAAGACTTGAGATACATGAGAAAGTGGCCATAATAACATTGACTCAGAGAATAATGTGAAGCTATATATACCATGTAGAAGAACCCTACATATAATACATAAATGCAGAGGGAACAGGCTCAAGAAAGGTCAGCATAGGGGCTAAGGATTTAGCTCAGTGGTGCCACCGCCTGCCTTGCAAGCACAAAGACCCAAGTTCGAGTCCTATTACCAAAAAAAAAAAATGTCAGTATATTGTCACTATTTTTATCTGGTTGTTGATTTATGTAAAATTAACTTTCCTATATTTCTTTGTATTTTTCAAATTTTTAAAATTGGGACAAAATTATATTTTTTAAATGTCAAAATCATTTTTCTTTCATTCCTACCCCATTCTTTGTTCCCAAATCTCCTGACTAGATGCCTAGAGTCTGATGTATTTGCCAGGGGAAAACATCATTCATCTTTCATTCCATGGTTATAGACCTGCTAGGAATACTCTTGGTACTTGCTCACATTAAAGTGTACTTCCTGAGTTAGTGACTGAAAGCACAACTTTTACCCTAGAAGGGAAGAAACATCATGTCAGGTAAAATAAGAAAGAAAAAATAGATGAAAGGTTGCTAGGGAAAAGAAGGCCAGTGTCACTTGCTTCATAATTTTCTTAGGCCAGTCAGCCTTGTTCAGACATTTCTATTCTGACAGTCTGAAGAGGCAGCTTAGTCACGGTGCTGCCACAGTCACTGAAACTTACAGCTTGCTTCCAGCAAAAGCTTTATCAACGTCTTTAGCATGAAACAAACAAAAAAGGTTAATAAATGCCTTACTGTAACATGAATTTATAGTGTAAAAACTATGGAATAATTACAAATGAATAGATGGAAAAAGAGGTAGATTCCTTTTGGGGGCATTTTTCAGCATCCTTTTGGTGCTAGAGAAAGAAAAATGCTCAGATGTTTGACTTATAGAAGACAATTATGTAAAGCCCATAATAATTAAATGGGAATGATAACCAGGGCTGTCTAACTGCTAACTGTAGAGAATGTGGTAAAGATAAAGAAGTTGCTGCAAGGTTAAGGATATGAACTCAGAGGTAATATCTATCAAGTGATTACTCCATATAAAGTAACTCCAATATTATTCATTAATTCATTTTTTTCATTTAATTCTCACAACACTGTAAAGTAGCTATTACACCCAGTTTATTAAATAGAAAGTGAACACACAGAAGCAACTCATTAAAGACAGTTCAATGGATAGAACTTACCAAAGGCTAGGGTCTGCTTTTCTCTAACAGGGAGATGACTGTTGACAGAGATGGTACCAAATTGCAGAAAGCTATGATGTTGAAGAAAAAATGAAAAGCATGAAATTAACATATGTGTGGAGCAGAGTAATGTTGCACAAACATTGTGGTTTTAGTGCTAGGTCAAATGTAATAAGATATCTCATATTTTTTAGTTTTTATTTTTTTCTATTTTGTGGCCTCTTTCTGTGCTGATTAGATCTTGGTTCCAAGTCCATTTCTTTCACTAGCCAATAAGGAGCTTAGAGTATGTTTATTTAATATCTTAGATATCAACTCTCAAGCACATTCCATCTCTAAATTAAAAGAATATAGGCCAAATCTGTAGAATAAGGGGCAGACAGCTAGTAGCAAAGCCACAGAGAGCCCAGAAATCACCTCTGTTCATTTGCCCTTGAATTATCTCTCTCAATTTTCTTTCCTTCATGAACATTAAAATCCTTTCAAATTAAGTTTTTAAGTTACTTGGTCAAAGCTAGATATAACCAAATCCAATCCCAAGAAATTAGATATATTTATTTATTAACTTCTATAAGTTAATAATAGTTCATCCAAACTGAAGATCTGGAGTATAATGCACTTTGGTCAATGAGATGAGAAAAAGTGAGAGGTTCTAATAATAATGTTATGTTATTTAATTTGAATATTTAGGAAATATAAAAAATTTTCTGTTAAGGGCACTATTTTTGAACTTTAACTGTGCTAGCATCTCCATTTAATGTCCAATTAATTTTTACACCAGTGTAATTGAGCACAGCACAGTGATATTGCTTTAATGTGCTGCTTGTTTCTTCTTACCTTGTTTGTTTAAAATTTTGTTAATATGTTCATGCAGTTTGTGCAGTTTAGAATAATCTTGAGAGGTGGCTACATGTATATACCACATCCTGTTTCTGTTGTTTTTCTTTCTTTTTTTTTTTTTCAGCTTTAATTGAGTTTATTGGTACATTTTAGGGATACAGTACAGTTACATTCATTGTTGGGATCTTGTACCTCTACATGACAAGTCTTGATTCTCATTTTTTCCCCTTACCCCTGCCCTCCCTTCACCCCCTTCTCCCCTCCCCATCTACAAACACTTTATTTCCATCTTTTCATTATCTCACATTTTTTTCTTTTCCCTTATTACCCTTCCCCTACCCATCCCACCTTCCCTACACCTTTAGCTCCTTTCTTCCCATTTGTTTTTCTTTGATCCTCTTCCCCTTCCCTCCCCTTCTCTCTTTGCTTCTCCAATTCCCCTATGTTTCTTTCTACCTTGTGATAGCAAGTTGTTTTCTCAGATGTCTGAAAAATGTGATGAAAAAGAAATCCTTCCTTGACAATGTGATAAGAATAATTAATTTAAAACTCTGACAAATGTTTGAGCTCTCTATCATTAAGTATATTTAATCAAAAAAGCCAACTTTGAGGGAGCAAAAGCAAACACCAGTTAAGTTTAATTTATTCAGCAGTTATCAGGAACTGCACAGAGTCTGAAATTTCACCCTACTTACAGTTGGAAAGAAAGCCTGCTTTCTTGCATGCTGGCAAAAGACACAAGACTCCAGAGTCAGAACAAAGGTCTTCATTACATCAAAAGCAGTAGCTAGTATTCTTATAATCCTCAGCAAAGATGTCCAGTAACAGGGATTGTCCTTCCCAAAAGCAATGTAGTCAAAATATTAAATTAAGTAACAACTATATCATTGTTAGAGTCTATATAATTCAATTTCTGATTTATATAGCTTATACAATTGATTTCATTTTTCCCAGTTATCTACATTGAAGAAAAACCTGAACCATATCTCTGTTTTCTAATTTTCCATTATTATACATACAAACATCCTTAATATTAATTAGGGAATAAATTTAGAGCTTAGTCAACTCTTGTGTTGTCTGCTTTTCTTTTTCCCACTTCAGTTCTGGGAATTATGCACAGGGCTTTGCAAATGCTGGGAAGCACTGTACTATGGAGCTATATCTGGAGACTTTTTGTCTACTTTTGTTACATAGTGGGAAGTATTTTTAACTTGAAGAGTTGATTTCTCTACAACTTTATAGTTGTTGATATCAAAAATATGTTCAGAATAATTAAAAGGAAATAATTCTTATTTATTCCAACAGATGGAATCACCACTTATATATGTTATGATTTTACTTTTGAACATGTTGGAATTTTCTTCAGGAATGGCATATGATAAAGGTAAGCATCTGACTATTCTTTTCTTTTTCCTACTCGAGAGTTCTCATTTATATCCTTTCTCATTTAAAGTTAAATGTTAGTAAGTCTTCTTTACCTTATCTGGTCCATACATTTCTAATAACATCATTTGAAACTATTGTTACTAAGTTGTATGTACAAAAGACAAAATATTTACCACTCACTGTAGTATTTAATCATTTATAAGACAGAATATTGAATATTAAAAGAAGATTTTATATTTGCAAAACTTTAAGTATTTGAAGACAGATATTTTAAAATTCTTTCATCTGTGAATGGTTTTAGGTAGAATGAATTGTAAACTGAATTATCACACTAGTAGACTGAGATTGAGGAGAATTTTCTGAAAGTAATATACAAACTGAATTAGTCAACAGGACTTTTATGGCAGAAAAACGTTATAAAAACGCAAGACAAATCCACTCCTATTTGTGCATATTTTTTAGATTCTGCAGCATCTTGGAATGGGGCCTGGAACATAGTATTATTGACTGGACGGATGGATAGAAGGATTCAGACATCATCTATTCACAGATGTGTTGCTGAGTTACAAAAGTTCTGGGATGACCTGGCTTTAGTTCCTACATTCTTCTAGAGAATATATGACACATGCATGGGTCTATTCCAAGACGGGAGAGTCACAGACTTCAGAGATTTCAGAGAAAGGAGTGGTTCCTTCCAGCTGTAGGGAAGGGGGTTGTCAGGAAACACTGTACAAAAAAGAACAATCCATTAGGCCCCCAAATGAGTAATATGTGCATACGCATATATGGAGAAGAGTATTCGACAAGACAACATCAGGGTGCATGTGAGCATTACGGAGATAGGAAGTCACAGACCACATGAAAGGATCAGTAAATAGTTCACTTTGACAAGAATGAAAGGATACAAGTAAAATATTCTTGAAATATGGAAAGCTGGTTCATATCACAGAGATATTTAACATTCCTTAGAATGTCAGGCAAAGGAGTTTGAGCTTTAATTTGTCAATGTTGGGAAGTTATTTAGGATTACTAGGTAGCAGAGTAACATAGCATAGCTATAGTTTACATTAATATGGCAGCCTCAGAGAGGGAACATTTTTCCTCTGTTAGATTTTGTGGCTAGGCCTATGAATTGAGCGAGAGACAGATGAATAGAAGAAAAAACATGATTAATGTTTTTGCATAACATAGTGGGCTTCATGGAAAGAAATAAAATACCAAAAGAAGTAATTAGACCTGGGGGTTGCATAGTATCTCAACAAAGCAGTAAATTGGGATTTTAATGGGAAAGTTACCAGGAAATAAATATACACATATTAGTGGAAGATAAGGTTTATTTTGTAAATGTGTTTGTACAGACTCACCTCTGTGTCAGCTCTTCATATCTGGCGATAGAGAAGCTAAAGGTAGAGCACATTTCTCATGGGAAATTTATATTCTGCTTTTTAGGTGGTAGATAACAGTGCTCTCCCATCCCTGCACCTGCTGTTTCTCAGTTGCTTTCATGTTGAAATGCTTGATATGTCAAAGAGGCTTATTTAGGGTGTGGCATGTTCTGAAACCCTAACACATCATACATTATGTAAAATGTATTTGTGGAGAAAGACAAAGGCATTTTTCTGCTTCTAGCTTCAACTTCATTGCTATAATTTAACTATGAATAATAAATGAGTTTTATAAATAACACTGTTTCTATAAATTTGGCTCAGAGTACTTTTTCCTCTTCTTTCGGAGAAGACATTCCCTCAGCAGTTATGACTTGTACGTTTTCCCTTTATGCCATGATTTATGTTAAAGTAATCATACCTTTAAAATGTAACTTCTCTGGTGTATCTTTCCTTTAATGGCTCATGATTTTTTTCTTGTTTTTATTTTGTTGTTTAAAACAATCTAACAAACTCTATCATCTGAGAATTTCTAGGAAAAGGGATCCTTGTAGGCAAAAGTACAGAAATTGGGAATTCCTTCTGTCTCTTGCCACAATATCTCCTATGGCTTTTCCTGACTCTATTTTTTTTAACATTCAAGCTCAAAGGAGCTCGGTGATATGACCCAATAATTCATGAAATGATACCAAAGTGCAGGAAACCAACCAATCAGTTTCACTGAGACCAACATTATAAAAAGATTCTATTTGAACTAGATCTTAAGATGAGTTAAAATTTGAGACACAGAATGGCAGTAGAGAGAAATCCATTATCATTTTAGAGAGGTTGGAGTGTAGATTTTGTACAGGATAGTTTGAAAAAGGAGCTTCACTGTTGAAAGATTATCTGGCAGAAGAGAAAAAGATTGTTAGGGAAAGACTTGCTTCCCATCTGACTTGCTGTTGTGATTAGCCATATGTGACCTTTGAGCTCAGTCACCCTTACTCTTGGTTCCTCTTCTTTCAAAGGGGACAGTGGTACAGAAAGCACATAGTATTGTGGTAATGTCATAATATGACATGTTAAACCAGTAGCTGGCTCAATGTATGTTTTTCAAAGGAATTAGTTTCCTTCTGCTTATCTTCTTTCCATACAAGGACTTTATTCATTAGATAATGAGGTATAGTGAAGATTTTTAAACAGAGGACTGATTTGGACCATAGAATCAAATGTAGCTTTAAAAAACAAGTCTGGTAGCACTGTCAAGGATGGGCAAAATGAATGCCTCTGTGAGCTGAAAATGGTTGAAGCCTGTTAACACTATCACTGCCACATATAGTTTAAGCATTGGTAGTATAATGGTGAGCATAGCTGCCTTCCAAATATAGTTTAAGCCACATTTATGAAACTTCCACAGATATATTTATGCATAGAATTTTAAGAATAGCATTGAAATCATAATGTTGTACCAATAGAATGAATGATATGAAATTATGAAGTAAATTTATTTTTATCTGCTATTCATTCATTCTTTTGAGAACAGTTCTCCCTGTGTAGTCCAGGCTCACCCACAACTTGCTGTGTAGCTCATGCTTGAACTCATACTTGAAACCCACCTGCTAGAATTGTAGGCAAATGCTGCCACATGTAGCCTTACTTTCTATTTAAATCCAGTCCTTGACTTGCTTCTTCCTATGTCCTTCTCTGAGTATTTGGTCCCAAGACTTTTTTGGTTACAATTCAAACCATTCTCCAAGCACTTAAAACTTCAAAACACAGTTTTGCATTGTAATTGTTATAATTAAAAAGGACTAGGATGTAGCTCAGTGTTAAAGCCCTGTGTTCAACCCAGCACTAATATATATACTTCCATATATGTATGTATATTTGCATCATGGTTTAACATGTGGTATATTTAAATCTTAATACTACAGCCTGACCTTCCTTTATTGGAAATCATTTTTTTAAACAGAAGATTTAGATTTATCTATAGTAAAATGAAATTAAAACATATAACTATATTCTTATTCTTGAAAAATAATATTCATCAGTTTGAAAAATATGGTACTTTTAATGGAAATTCATCCATCTATAACTAAAATATTCATTATTTTGTTTTATGTAGATGTTATGGAGAAACATTTTGCTTGTTCTAACCAAGGGCTCCCCAAAACTAATGAAATAATGAAGTTGCTTCTTTCCTCAAAAAATTTGGTAAGGTTCTTTAATAGCATTTCTCATGACCTTTCACATGTCTTTTAAATCCATGTGTAAAACCAGTAACACTGTACTCCTTTCAGATTTGAGAAGATGAATTCTATATAATCGTTTGTATACTTTCTAGACCTTGACCACTTAATTCAGGTAGAACTTCATTTAGCCATTGAGTACCTTGAGTGGTTTTGCTTTGTTGTTGTTTTAAAATGATGCCTCCTCCTCCTTTTTTTTTAAAGATCAACTATAACAAATTTTTATGGAGCTTATTTATCCTTATTTATCCAAAGTTTGACAAATTTAAGCTGTTAGAGAAATAAAATTGCCTCACATGGCCTTGAGAAAGAATCCATACTGAAGTTGTCATTTTGGGTAAGGGATGATATAATCCTTTGATTCAAATAATAAGATATTTCTTTTAAAAACACACAACAAAATAAAATACAGCATTAAGAAAGCCATGTAGAAAATCCTCAACAAAATATTAGCAAATAGAATGCAACACATTATAAAAAAACACACCATCAAGTGGGTTTCATCCCAGAGATGCAAGGATGGTTGAACAAACCTAAGTCTCTAAGTGTAATACATCACATAAAGAGGAGTAAGGTAAAAAACCATGTGGTCATATCAGTGGAAAACAGAAGAGACTTTCCACAAAATCCAATACCCCTTCACGATAAAAATCCTGAAGGAAACAGGAATTGATATATCATACCTGAATATGAAAAAGGCTATTTATGACAAATAAATAGGCAGCATCATACTAAATGGAGAAAAACTAAAAGCAGGGCCAGGGATTTAGCTCAATGGTTCTACCACCTGCCTCACAAGTGCAAGGTCCTAAATTCGATCTGAAAAAAAAAAAAAGAAAGAAAAGCATCCCCCCTAAAATCAGGGACAAAACAAGGATGTCCACTATCAGTTCTATTATTCAACATAGTATTTGAAATATTAGCCAAAGCAAGTAGACAAGAGAAAGAAATAAATAGATACACATAGGAAATGAATGACTCAAATTATTGTTATTTAAAGATGACATGATACTCTAAATAGAAGACCCAAAGAACGCCACCAAAAATTCTTAGAATTAATAACCAACTTCAGCAAAGCAGCACAATGTAAGAATCTTTCTTCCTTCCTTCTCTTTTTTTTTTTTTTTTTTTTTTTTTTTTTGGTACTGGGGATCAAACTCAGGACCTTGCACTTGCAAGGCAGGTGGTGGAACCACTGAGCAAAATCTCTGACCCTCTAAGACTCTGTCTTATTCCAGAAAGAATGGTAATCCTCAAGAAATCAAAGAATAACAAATCCTAATATGGCTTTGGTGAAAAAAGGAACCCCTTCACTGTTGGTGGGAAGGTAAACTAGCACAACCATTATGAAAATAGGTATGGAGATTTCTCAACGAATCGAAATTAGAAATTTTTAAAAAAGAGAGAGAGATAAGGGACCAGGAATTTAGTTCAGTGGTTCCGCTGCCTGCTTCACAAGCGCAAGGTTCCGAGTCCGATCCCCGGTACCACAAAAAGAAAAAAGAAAAAAGAAATTCCATACAACCTAGATATTCCTCTGCTAGGAATCTTCCCCAAAGAGTTTAAGTCATCATACTGCAGCAATATATGCATACCAATGTTTATAACAGCACAATTCGTAGTAGCTAAATCCTGGAAGCAGCCTGTATAACCATCAACTGATGACTGGATAAAGAAAATGCTGTGTCAATATATAATGGAATAATACTCAGGTATAAAGAATGACAGATTTGAGACATTGGTAGGAAAATGGCTGTTGGAAAATACAATACTGAAATAAATAAATTAGACCCATAAGTTTAAATACCATATTGTATCTCTCATTTGAGTAAGGCAAAGTACAAACAAAGAAAATGAGGATGCATAGAAAGGGACAAGGGGACAGATCTTGTCCAATAGTGAAGTGGTCCAAGGGAACAAGGGTTAAATGTAAGGAGGAGGGGAAGGGGAAGTGAGAGGAATAATGACACATAATGTACAGGGTCCTAATAACTCAAATCAATGTAAACTTTACATGCCATAACATAAGCTAAGACAAATAATATCGACAAGTCTGTAAAAAGTGATAAGGGACAGAGTAAGAGGATGGAGAAAAAAGAAAGGGGAAGGGGTTATAAAAAACTGTAATATGTACATATAATCATTCCCAAGGGGACTATAAACTGTGTGAATTGCAAACTCAAGCTAATTAAATAAAATTTTTAAAGATAACCATGCTGCAAATTTGAACAAACATAGGAGTTAATAAAAACACACAAATTGTTTAAAAATCTATAAATATAATAAAAACAAACTACTCCACAATTACAAATACATTTATCTCTAAATCTGCTTTAATTTAGACTTCAATTGCTTCTTGATACGCCACATATATTTAACTTTTTTATTTACAACTATTGTGAAGTACATACCCTTTAAGTAAAAAAAAATCCTTATTTTTGGATTATATATTATAGAAAAATAATAAGCCTTAGAGAAAGACCTATAAAGCTGAGATCAGATCTTGGACTTGCTAATTAGTGATCTGTGTGTACTTGGGCAGGTTACCTAACTTCCCCAGCCAATTTTTTCCTCCATGTTTTTTTTTTATTTTGTTATATTGTCTTATGTAGTAGTGGAGTTTGAACCCAGGTCCTTCACACTGAGCTACATCCCCAACCATTTTTATTTTTTATGTTGAGAGAAGGTCTAGCTAAATTGCTAAATTGCCAGAGCTGTGCTCAAACTTGCAGTCCTCCTGCCTCAGCCTCCTAGAGAACTGGGATTATAGGTATGCACCACAATGGGATTATAAGTGTGCACCGTGCCCGGTTCTGTCAGTGTTTTATTCTTGAAAAGGGAATTATAGCCAGGAACTGTGGCACGTACTTTTAATCCCTCTCTTTAGGAAGCTGAAGCAGGAGGATCACAAGTTCAAGGCCAGCCTGGGCAATTTAGCAAAATTCTGTCTCAAAATAAAAAACAAAAAGGACTGAGGGTGTAGCTCAGTGATAAAGTGCTTGCTTAAGCATGCCTGCTTCAATCACCAGTCCTAGAAAAAAAAAGTTGTGTGTAGGAGGTGAGATATAACCAAAGTGTTTAATTGTGTCAGGTGTGTGTGTCTGTGTGTGTTAGACACTTTTCAAAGTTTCATTATGTTCATAATGACATTTAATCTTCACAATTGATTTTCCCTGAGGTAATTAAGTACTATTGTCCTTTTTCCAGATGACCCATTAAACATCACAAACTCCTGTGCTCCCAATCTCCCTCTTCTACTTTATTCATATAATTGATTCTGTATTTATTTTACTTGTAACTTTTCTTCTATCCATCTACCAATTCACGCTCCACTCCATCTATCAATTTGTCTCCCTGCAAATCCCCATTAAAATGTAAGTTGCATGATGGCAGGAATTTTTTCTATTTTATTCACTTCTCTATTCCCAGTACCTATAACACTCGCATAATGAAGGGTAAGTAAATGTTTTTGGAATGAATGGCTTTCCCCACTTTTTAGGTAGGGAAACTTAGATAAGGAAATTACCCAAAGTGCTCTTAATTACAAGAACTGAGAGTTAAAATAAAGTTTTTAGTATCTCTCTCATGTAAGTTTTTAGTAAAATCTTCCATTAATGATTGCTGCATTTTCACATATGCTAGCAATAGTCAATAAAAATGTAAGCTTTGCTTTACATATTTGCTTCCTCTTTTATTTAAATACAAAATAACTTTAATAGTACAAGCTTTCAAAAACTTAATGCAAAATAGCAACTTTAAAAAAAATCATAATTCCTACGTGTGCAGGCGTGGGGTTCTGATTTTATCCTTATTAAATATAAAAACTTTCTTAATGTTTTATGACAGAAAAGGTTATAATAAGGATGAATTGAAACTTTATGACAATCTCGTAATAGGTTACTGAGTTCTACAAGTTTGCTTTGGAAAAACTTTTTTTTCATCTAGCTAGAGGTGGAATTACTAACGGTAGCAGCCTTCACAGCATTTACTTTTCACAGATTCCTCCTCACTTTTACATTAATATCATATGCTTCTCTCCACCAAACTGTCATTACTTGTTTGTTTTATCTTTCTCTTTCCTAAAGCAAATCCAGTGTTTTTTCCAAACGGAGAATGAACATGTTTCCAAGGAAACGCTAAGTACATTCACATCTGGAGGACTTGCTCCTACCTTGGAAATCATAAATAGTACATATCATGGCATCTTCCACTTCAATTTAACTTTGGTAATTATGCTTTATTTAATTCTGTGATATGTTTACATAAGTATACTCTTCCTTATAGGGTGTGTTTTTGAAGACAAGTAATTCGTTGCTATTATAATATAGAGGTTCCACCACCTGCCTCACAAGCAGAAGGACCCGAGTTCGATCTCCGGTACCCCCCCCCAAAAAAAAACCCAACCAAAATATTGCAATACAGATACATACACGTGATTTATATATGTTTTAAATTCAAAAATATATTATACTTTTTGCTTTAACTAACCACATTTTTCAAAAAATTAGAAGAAAAATACAATTTTTAATATATACTTATTTACAATTTCTATTACTCTTCATTCCTCTTAGATATAGATTGCCTCTGGTATCAAACTTATTTAAGCATTTTACAGTACAGATCTTCTGACAATTAATTTCTTTTTCCCCTGAAAATGTCTTTATTTGACCTTCATTTTAAAACTTTAATAAGATATAATTTACATACCATACAGTTCACCTGTTTAACATGTATAATCCATTGCTGCTTTTTTCTTTTTTCTGTACCAGGGATCAAACTCAGGACCTTGTGACAGTGAGGCAGGCGTAGTGCCGCTGACCTAAATCCCCAGGCTGATTCATTGCTTTTTAGCATGTTCATACACTTCATTTATGCAATCGTTCCTACTATGTAATTCCAGAATACTTCATCACTCCAAAGAACAACTCAAAGTCATTAGGACACACGCTTTCCATTCTACCTCTATTCCCCAGCCCTAGGCAACTACTATTCTACTTTATTTCTCTACAAATTTGCTTATTCTGAGCACTTCATGTAAATGAAACATAATATGTAATATTTATGACCACAACTTTCAGGTTACATAGTATATTCAAGGTCCATCCATGTTGTGGCATTTATCAGTACTACATTCCTTTTTCTGGCTGAATAATGTTCCATTGTATAGACATCACATTTATTTATCTCTTCATCAGTTGATCAACATTTGCGTTATTTCGAGTTTGGGGCTATTATAAATAATGCTGCTATGAGCATTTGTGGATGTGTTTGGGTGGAAATGTTTTCATTTCTCTGGGCACAATGCTCTATTTAACTTTTTGAGAACTACCAGATTGCTTTCAAAAATGATTGTATTACTTTACATTCCTACCTATGTTATTAGAGTTCCAGTGTCTCCACATTCTCACCAACACTTGCTATGTCTTTTTTGTTACAGTCATTCTAGTAGATATGAAGAACTCTCTCACGATTTTGAATTGTATTTTTCAAATAACAAATGATGCTGATTATCATTTCGTATCATCCCATATGAATATCTTCTTTGGGGAAATAGCTTTTTTTTTTCAGACAGGGTCTTACAGTGTAGTTCAGGGTGACCTTGAACTCACTTTGTATCCCAGGCTGGTCTCAAATTCATGGTGATCCTCCTGCCTCAGCCTCTCAAGTGTGGTGATTACAGGCATACACTACTCTAAGCCTAGAAATAGCTATTTAGATTCTTTGTCCATTTTTAATTTGAGTGGTCTTCTTATTGTTGAATTCCAAATGTTCTTTATATATTCTGGGTAGAAGTCCCATACCAGATGTGATTTGCAAAAATCTTCTTCCATTCTGTGAGTTGCCTTTTCACTTTCTTGATAGTGTGTTTGATATGGGAAAGTTTCTCCCTTGCACTTTTGAGTCATGTGTAGAAAATTCTCACTTGATCCAAAGTCAGAAAAATTTACCTGCATGTTTTCTCTCAGGAGCTCAATAGTTTTAGCTTTTACCTTTAAGTTTCTATCCATTTTGAGTTTTTATATACTGTACAATAGGAGATGGGAATCTATATTCATTATTTGCATTAGATATCCACCTTTCCTTGTACTATTTGTTGAAAATATTATTTCATTAATGAATTGTTTGACATCTTTGTTGAAAGTCAGCTGACTATAAATGTGAAGGTTTGTTTCTGTGTTCTCAATTATATTGCATTGATCTATGTGTTTATTTTTATGCTACTACATGTTGTCTTAATATGGTTGCTTTGGGTTAAGTTATGAAACAAGGAAGCATGAATTCTCTGACTTTGTTCTTCTTTTTCAGAATTGTTTTTGCTAGTCTTGGTCCCTGAGTTTCCATATGATTTTTTTTTTTTGTACTGAGGATCATACTCAAGGCCTTGTGCTTGTGAGGCAGGTGGCAGCACAACTGAGTAAATCCCAAGCCCTCCATATGAATTTTAGGATAAGCTTGTAAATTTCTTCAAAGTAATCTGCTGGGATTCTGATGAGATTTTGTTGAATCTATAGATAAATTTAGGTATGCTCCCATCTTAATAACATTAAGTCTTTCAAACTATGAATACAAGTTGTCTTTCCACATATTTTGATCTTCTTTAATTTTTTTCAACAATATTTTGTTTCAAGAGTATAAACTGTATGCATCTTCTGTCAAATTTATTCCTAATAGTAAACCTTTTTATCTATCTTGTATCCTGTAGCCATGCTGGACTCACATATGAGTTGTAAGAGATTTTTAGTAGTTACCTGAATTTTTGAAAAATATTTTTGTCAGATCTACAATTTCTGATTGACTTCATTTTCTTTCAGAATTTTGAATATGTTATTCTAATGTTGCCTGACACCATTGTTTTGAAAAAAAAGTTAACTGTTGATTTTATTATTGTCCCATTTTTGTGCCATTTTTTTTCTAGATACTGTTAAGATTTTCTCTTTGTACTTACTCAGTTGAAGCTCTCTGAGCTTCCTGAATTGCAAATTCACCAAATTTGGAAAGCCTTATGCCAGTATTTCTCTAACATTTTTCCACCCATTTTTCTGTCTCTCCTTTGAATCCAATTATACATATTTTGGAACACATTATATTATCTCACAAGTCTATAAAACTTTATTTTTTATGAATTATTTCCCTCTTTTTAAAATTTATTTTTAATTGATATGTTAAATTCATTAAAATTTCATATATTAATGGGTTACCATGTAGTATAGGTGCATATCTTGTGTAACGTTTAAATCAGATTAAATATATTGTGTCCTCAAGAATTTATCATTTCCTTATGATGAGAGCATTCAAAATACTTTTTCCTCATTTTTTAAATAAATAGTATATTATCGTTACCTATAGTCACCCTAACATGTCCCTCTTTTTAATATTTGGTAGTTTTAACTGCTATATCTTTAAACTCGCTTATTGTTTCTTTTTACATCTCCATTCTGCAGTTTAATCTGTTAAACAAATATGTTATAATGCTTGTCAGTCTTATTATTTCTGTTTGTTTGTTTTTCTGTGTTGGGATTCCCTTGTTAGAACATCTTCCTAAGCCAATGTACACTTTCATAATAAATTCTTTGAAGTCATTTCTGGTATCTACATTCTGACTCAATTTAGTGTCTACCCTTTATTCCTGAGTATCAGTTACATTTTCGTGTCTCTTTTTATATCTTGTCACTTTGGATTCAAAAGTGGACACTAAAGATAATATGTTGTAGCAACTCTAGATTCTATTTTGTTCTTGTTATTCTAAAAGGCAGATAATTTAACTTGGCAAAATCTGCAAACTGTTTTATAGTTTCAATATCTCTGATATCTCTGCCAATTCTTTTAGCTTCCACTGCTTTTTTAGACTTGGTACTCTAGGGGTATCTTCTGCACCTGTGTAGCATGAGGATTTGGACACAGTTTTTATATAAATCTTAGAGCTCACCATTCTTGGAGATCTCTTGCTCCTTGGATTTTTCTCTTAAATTTCCAATGCTCTGCCATCCATGTTTTGTCTCTGATTATTAAGCAGTAGTACTTCAGCTTCATGCTACCAGAGATTGATTGTGTGGTAATCCATTATGTGGCTAAATTATTGTACACAGCTGATTAACTTTTTTATCATTTCCAATCTTATGTTATTCCCAACCATGATTCAAACATATTCTTGAATTACATTATTTTACTTATATATAATGTAGAAAAAACCTAACAACTAGATAAAACGTATACGTGCTTTTGTTTAATTCTTTTTTAAGAGAGAGAGTAGAGATGGGTGTAGTGGTGTACACTTGCAATCCCACCATTCTGGGAGGCTGAGGCAGGAGGATTAAATTTCAAACCCAGCCTGGGCAATTTAGTAACTCAACAAGACCCTGTCCCAAAATTTTTTCAAAAACATTAAAGACTGGGGGTGTGGTTCAGTGTAAAGACCCTGGGTTCAATCCCCCAATACAGAAAAAAAATGACATGTAGAACATGCCAAAATAAACATTACTATGAACATTGTAAAATATTGTTTTCTGATGTCTTCTTCATTCAAGTTGAATGATCGGATTTTCTGGTTAATTGATATTCCGAGAGAAAATATCACAAGTAACACAGGTAAGACTGACTAAATTTATTCTCTTACTCATGGGTCTAAATTTACCAAGTAAAAATATTTATTGTAGTTTAAAGACTAGTCATTACCCCATGTAAATATCCTATGTAGAATGTAGGACATACTAAAAATTTATTTCTTATTTATCTGAAATTTAAGTTTACCTGGACATATGTATTTTATCTGGCAATCTTACAGGTTGATTGTTCTGACATACATAAAATTTATATTATCCTTTATTTAAAGAAAACTAATTTTTTAGAAGTTGAAAATTATAGTATTGAGTATTATAAATTTTACTAAAGTTAAATCAACCTTAAAGTGTTATAGGCTATAATGTGCAATGTATTATTTTATTAGGGACTTTACTATTAAATGTTATGTGGCAGTATAGAATTATATACTGTGTATACTCAGAAAGAAAGGAGGAAAGTCAAGTTTCAAATTTTCAAGTATTAAGCTAATAGACAAAGTTAAATTTTTAGGCATAAGCTGTAGTCCCATAGGTTAAAGATGATGAAAGATTTGTTGTTTTAATATGGTATATGCAAGAAAGAAAAACTTCACTTAAGGAAAAAAAAATTTTTTTCACTCATGGATTCCAAAGACAAATGCAGCCATACTGTAAGAAGGAATCAGAAATAACAAATAGAAAGAACTCAGGAAAGACTGGGTTCCCTGTCTTCTCTATCTTTTCTGTAAATCCACATTTATTTTTGTTTCTTTGCAGATTGGCATTCTAAAACTCTCTCGCTATTGTTGAATTTTTATTTATTTTTCCTAAGGGCCACCCCAAATTGCAAAGTCTCAGGAGAATATCCTTATCCTCAGATCTATTCATGAGCCAATTAAAAATGGCAGGCAAATAGGGCCAGGGATTTAACTCAATGGTTCTGCCACCTGCTTCGCAAGCACAAGGTCCTGAGTTCAATATCCAGTATAAAAAAAAAAAATGCAAGAACATTAAGGATTGGGAGAGTGAGATAGGGGAATCACACAGGCCAACCTCTCTGGATAAGAGAGTAGAATGGGCCCTACAGAGAGAAGGTGGAAGAAAGAGAATAGAGCAGAGATAGATAAGGAAGTATCAAAGATCAAAGCAGAAACTGCAGTACTGTAAGATCTGACATGGATTGTATCACTATCTTTTCCCTTTACTCAGCTGATTTTTTTAAGAGGAAAGGTTTGTTTTGCCTCATGATGTCAGAGGTTTTGGTCCATGTATTGCTTCTGGGCCTGTGGTGAGTCAGTAGTACATCATGGTAGAAGAGCACAGCAGAGGAAAGCTGCACACTTATGGGGGCCACAGAGCAAAGAGAGAGGAAGGAGCTGAGGACCAAATATACCATTCAAAGGCATGTCCCTTACAGAGACATTCCAGATCCAAAATATAACATCTGAACCCTAGGCCCCAAAGTCTGTTGTCCGTCTCACATTTCAAAATCCATTCAGTCCATCTCTAAGAGTCCCATGCTTTAACAGCTCCAGCATTGCTCAAACGTCCAAATACAAAGTCTCATCTAAGACTCAAGGCAAACTCTTAGCTATGAGTCCCTATAAAACTCAAGAAACAGGTTACATATTTCCAATATACAATTGCACAAGGTGAACATCCCATTCCAAAAGCAAGGGATAAAAGAGTACCAAGGAAAGAGCAGACTAAAGAAAGGCAGAAACCCAGCAGGGCAAACATTAAATCCTTAGATCTAAGTCCTGTATCTTAGGGCACATGATGGCAGGATATGAGCTCTGAAGAGATTGGGCAGCCCCTCCCCTAGGCCTTACTGGCTGCAGCACACATAGCCACAGTCTTGGGCTGACTGTACTCATTTCTGTGGCTTCTGTTGGTAGACATACCAATGTTCCTCTCATCTCTAATTTCCAGAGGTCTCAGTTGCAGTTTCAGCTTCACTCTCACAGTTCATACATCACTCTCACAAGGATTGACTATAGGAATTTTAATGCTGCCTTATATTGGCTGGCCTTCTAGGCCCTCTTGTGAAATTTGGGTGGAAGCCTCCATGACCCTACAACTGTTATATTCTGCATGTCTGTAAAACCAGCATCACATGAATGATGCCAAGGTCTACCACCATCTCAAACAATAGCAAGGTGCATTCATGCCATGACTGCAACAGGCTCTGTCCAAACAGCTGAGCATGGTGAGATGAATCCTGTGGAAAGGCAACCCTGTAGGAGGAAGATACTGAGAAACTCTCCCCTCAAAACAAAGTCTTTGAAACAAGTTTACGCTTTCATACATGTGATGGATAGTGGCTAGCCAGTTCCTGAGATGTCAAGGCATATTCTTTTTCTCTGTGTTAATCTCTTTATCAGCTACAACTTCCTTGGTCCCAATCTTACATATGCTTATTTCTGGCCAAACTACAAGTTTTTCAAGTCATTCCACTCCGCTTTTTGCTCATTATTCTCACTGCAAATCTGGCTAAAAGCAGTACTTATGTCACCACTTGAATGGTGTGGTGTGTTGAAATTTCTAAATTAGTCATTACCTTTAAATTCAGCCTCACACAAAGTCTCAGGGCATGGACAAAATAACACACACAAATTATTTGCCAAAATGTAACAAAAGGCCTCTGGTCTAATTCCCAATAAAATCCTCATTTCCATCTGAAACCTCAAGACAGTCTTTACTATCTTCGTTCCTATCAGTATTCTGTTCTTCTGAGCGTCCACCAGAATCGTCCAATCACCTTTTTTTTGTTTTTCTTTGCAATCCTAAGGATTGAACCCAGGGGCTTCTCACTGAGCTATGCTATGTCTACAGCCTCTTTCTAATTTTTTAAATTTTGAGACAAGGTTTCTATCTTAGTTACTTTTCTCATTTGCTGAGACAAACTACCCAACACCACAAGTTAAAGAAGGAAAGGTTTTTTCAGTTCAGTTTGTAGAGGATTCAGTCCAAAATCAGCTGGCTCCAAGGCAAAGTGGCATTGCAGAAGGGCATTGCAGAGGAGATACAGTCCATGGCTGACAGAACAGGCAGAAGGCAACAAAGCAGTAAAGTAGGGAAGCAGCAGCCTGCCTCTCCTTTTAATCCCTTCCAACCCACTTGCCTTTTGGGTGGTGCCACCTACACTCAAATTGAGGTTTGCATTATCCATACACGGAATTAAGCTAAACCAATCAATGGAATCATTTACTAATCATATACCATTAATCCCAGCATGTACCCTTAATCCCAGCATCACACACCCTAGATCCAGCTCCACCTCCAAAAATCCCCACCTGTCACCACATGAGGGATATGTAGGTACAGGCCATAACAGTCTAAATTGCTAAATTGCCCAAGATGGGATTGCACTTGCAATCCTCCTGCCTCAGTTTCCCAGAGTGCTGGGATTACAGGTGTGCATTACCACATCAGGCTGAGAATCACTAATTAAATTCTAGTTACAACAACCTAGCAAAACTTTTAGAGACCAAGTACCCAAACTACAGCCCAAGCCCCATTTATTTTTTGCAAAGTGTCAATACTGCAATTAAACCTGAATCCTGAGAATTTAGTTTAGATAAACTGTTACCAATACTCAGCTGCTGGGGCAACTTGGCTCGCTGCAACAGAGAGGGCTCTGTGTTCCCACTGCAGCGCATGTGCTATAGGTTCACCACCACTGACCTAGGGCTTACTGTAGCTTGCAATTCCAAATCTTACTAAATTCCCCCCACAAACCATTTCCAAAGGCTTCTAAATCACATGATCAAGTATAATCACAGCAACAATCCACTACTAAGCATAAGTTTGTTGTGTTAGCTTTCCATTATTGTGACAAAATACCTGAAAACAACAATTTAAAAGAGGAAAAAATTGTTTTGGTTCATAGTGTCAGTGGTTTCAATCCATGGTGGGCTGGCTCCACTGTTTCTGAGCCTGTGGTGAGTTAGTACATCACAGTGGAAGGCTGTGGTAGAATGAAGCCGTTCACCTTGGCAGTGCTTCCCAGTGTCAACTAGGAAGCAATAAGAGAGAGGGATACTCTTTTTCTTTTTTTTTATACCAGGAATCAAACTCCGGTCCTTGCTCTTTGAAGCAGGCGACAGGACCACTGATCTAAATCCCCAGCCCTACTCATCTCCTTTTAAAGAAAAATCTTGTCATTGGAACTATGAGTGTTTTTTGCAAGGAATTCGTTTTGAAAACTGTACTATATTTTTAAATTGTACTGACTCATTAGTTTAGTATAAAGGTGAAATATTATTGTAGGTGCTTGGCATAGTAGCGACAGTGACTTGACAGTTGGAAAGCAATGAAGATTACATGTGATTTTTACTTCTGCTATTTATTTGCAAGCTTTAATTCAAAATACATTGATTGTGAGGTCACCCATACAAAAACAAAGCTGAGCTGAGAACATTAGAATTTATAGAAAAAGATCAAATGAGCTCTGCTTCTTCTGAAACAAATCCCTTGAATGAGGTGTGTGTGTGTGTGTGTGTGTGTGTGTGTGTGTGTGTGTTTTCAGTTTGTTCTGGTAATATAATGGAAAGGGGGATGGTATACAGTAATGTAATAAAAATCAGATTTAAAATGCTTAGAGGAAAAAAATCACATTTCCTCATTCAATGTTTTCTTCCTTAATCATATCTGATTTACTGTCATGCCATGAATTTGAGTACTGTGGTAAGATACTTCTCAATTTATGAGGAGGTTGCATCCAGATAAACTTGTATTAAGTTGAAAATATTGTAAGTTAACATGCATTTAATATACCTAAGCTACTTAACATTATAGCTTAGCAACACAGTTACTTTCCCCTGCATGATTGTATGGCCAACTGGTTTTGCTGCTCTACATCACAAGAGAGTATTTTACCACATATTGGTAGTCCAGGAAAAGATCAAAATTTAAAATTTTATGTATGTTTCCTATTGAATTCATATTATTTTTGCACAATCATAAACAGAAAAATCATTAAGTGTGTCCATGATAAGTTGGTGCCATCTGCACATGTAAAATTTTAGTAAAAGTAAGTTAGGTAACATCAACAGCAAAGGTAGCAAAATAGTCATTGTAGTAGTAGTAGTAGATTTAGCCACTAGCATTTATTGAGTTATTATATGCCAGCACTGCTCAAGAGACTTTAACCAAATTAACTCATTTATTTCTTACTATGAGAAGTAGACTCTTGATAGGTAACCTTATTATCTCCATTTTTAAATGATTTAAGTGAAGCCTGTAGAGCCATATGGAGATTTTTTTTCAATTCTCTTTTTTTTTTTTTTTGAGTTTATTGGTACATTTAGGGATACAGTACAGTTACATTCATTGTTGGGATCATGTACCTTTACATGGCAAGTCTTGATTCTCATTTTTTTCCCCTTACCTCTGCCCTCCCTTCACCCCCTCCTCCCCTCCCCATCTACAAACACTTTATTTTCATCTTTTCATTCTCTCACATTTTTTTCTTTTCCCTTTTTGTTCTTCCCCTATGTATCACACCTTCCCTACACCTTTAGCTCCTTTCAATTCTCTTTTGATTGGTTGTACAGATTAATGGGCTTCATTTTAGAAGGCTCATACCTGCATATAACATACTTTGATCTCCATCATCCTCCCATATCCCACTCTTTCCCCTAATTTCACATGGTGGGGTATAATATTAATGGATACATTTTGCTCATAATCTACCCCCTATTACCTGTCTTTTTACTTCCTCCCCTCCCTCATATTCTGTTCCTCTTGTCTAATAATAGTCTCCCTTGTATTTTCTTGTCATCTTTTCTACATTCTGCATATTAGGGAGAATGTATGGTATTTGTCAGATCCTGTGCCCATTTTTTTTTTTTTGAGGCAGGGTCTCACTTTGTAGTTCAGGCTGGCCTTGAACGCTCAGTGATCCTCCTGCCTCAGTCTCCTGAGTGTTGGGATTACAGGCGTGCATCACTACATCCAGCTCCTTTGCCCATTTTCAATTGATTTGTTTGCTTTCTTATTATTGAACCATCCTGCATACCTACGATAAATCCCACTTGATCATGATGATCTTTTTAATGTGCCATAGAACTCAGTTTTCTAGTATTTTGTTGAGAATGTTTACTGTTTTTTTTTTTGGTACCAGGGATCAAACTCAGGTCCTTGTGCTTGCGAGGCAGATGGCAGAACCACTGAGCTAAATCCCCAGCCACATATATTTTAATCAGAAATATTTTCCTTTTTGTGGTTTCCTTTTCTGGTTTTGGTATCAGTAATTTTGGCAATATAGAATGACTTTTGAATTACCCACTTTTTCAATTTTTTAGACTAGTTTAAGAATAATTTATATTAGATATCCCTTAAATATATGGTACAATTCAGCAGTGAAGCCATCAGTCATGAACTTTTCCTTGATGGGTATTTTTAGATAATATTATACTATTTCACAAGAAGGTCAAAATTTACTTTTTACCAAGTCATAACAGCTCTAGGAGAAAAATTATGATCTAAAATATTAGTGTGCAGATTCATGGGTATGATGGTCAGATCACTTCATAATTCTTTTTTCACTATCTTATTAGTAAAATATTTGCAGAAAAATATGGGAAACTTGACATATAAATGTAGCAAAAAATGGTTGGAAAAGGAAAAGTTGTCATTACTGGTGATGTTCACATAACTTGTTTCATCAACATGACATGTAAAAAGTAGTTGACTGTCTTTTGTTTTCAGATATTGCTGCTGTAGAAGAATGGTTAGTAAAGATCACTTTACATCAAGGATTAAATATTTATGCTATTGAAGGAACCCTATTGGATAGTATTCGAGGTAACTACTAGAAGATGAAAACAGAATGGGATTCATATATTATTACAGCAAACTTTGCCATTTACTATATGGCAGATTCTGCTAAGTCTTAGATGACCAGGACCTTGAGGGGCTCAAAATATTATGGGGCAAAAAATTAAATATATGTGGATAATTGTTATTAGAGCCCTACATAGAGTGCTATAGGAATATGAAAGTATCTTTTATTGTGGCCACTTTGGGGATCATTCTAAACGTGAAACTAGCATAAAACTAGTTTTTGCATCTTTGATGTATCTTAGTTAGATACTTCTCACTGTCTTTAACAGCATGTAAAAACAATCTTGCTCTGCCCTACAACAGTTATTTTTTATTAAGCATTAATTTCTTTAAATTCATGAAAATTGAGAGGTAAAACTAGGCTTCTCCTTTTCAACTGTCTGATTAAAAATGATAGCCCAATTTTTAAAAATTAATTTTATTGGTACATTTAAGGTATACAATTTAATGATATTCATCATTAGAAATTTGTATCTTTACATAATCCATCTTGGTTCTTTCTTTTTCCCCATGTCTCTGCCCTCCCTTCAACCCCGCCACCCCTCCCTATGTACAAAAACTTTGTTTCCATTTTTTATTTTTCTCATATTAATTCCATTCCGTTCTTCCTTTTCCCCTTCCCTTCCACTTCTGCTTCCACTTTGTACCTTTTCTTCCTATTTCAAATTATCTATTATACCTTTTAGTCCTTATTTACACTTTCAGTTTCTCACATTAGAGAAGTGATTCTGTATTTACACGTGTGTCCTATTTATTTCACTTAAAAGTACCACCTCAATGTGCATCCATTTAGCTATAAATATTTCTAGTTTCTCATTCTTTATGGCTGAATAGTATTCCATTTTATAAAACACACACACATTTTCTTTATTCAGTCTCCTGTTGATGGACAATTGGGCTGCTTCCAAGTTTTAGCTATCACAAATTGTGCTGCTATGAACATGGGGAGCATGGGTGCACATATATCACTAAGGTAGGATTCTTTTAATTTGCGGGGGAAGATACCCAGCAAGAGAATAGCTGGGTCAAATGGGACTTCCAATCCTAGTTGTTTGAGGTATCTCCATACGGATTTCCACAGTGGTTGCACCAGTCTGCACTCCCACCAATAGTGGAGAGGGGGTTCTTTTTCAATTTCATTGGTTGATATTGGATCGTTTAGATTTTTTAGTTCATCTTTGTTCAACTTTGGCAATTTATGCAAATCTAGGAATCTTTCCTTTTCTTCTGTATTTTCCATCTTATTGGTATAAAGTTTCTCAAAGTAGGTAGGTATTGATGATCCTCTGGATTTCGGCTGGATCTATTGTAATTTCACCCTTTTCACTCCTAATTGCATGGATTTGGGCCTTTTCTTTCCTTTTTTTCATAAGGTTGGCTAAGGGTTTGTCATTTTTGTTTATTCTTTAGAAGAACCAACTCTTGTCTTCACTGATTTTTTTATATTGTTCTCTTAGTCTCCATTGCATTGATTTCTACCCTGATCTTTATAATTTCCTCCCTTGTATGAGCTTTGGGTTTGTCCTGCTCTTCTTTTTCTAGAAGCTTGAGGTTCATCATCAGATTGTATAATTGACCTCACTCTGTTTTCCCAATATGCATATTCACTGCTATGAATTTCCCTCATAAGATTGCTTTCATTGTGTCCCATGATTCCAATATATTGTGTTGTCATTGTCATTTAATTGTGGGAACTGTCTGATTTCTTCTTTAATTTCCTCTGTAACCCATTGGTTATTCAGAAGTGTGTTGTTCAATTTCCGTATGATTATGAAGTTCTTGCGGTTTCATTTGCTATTGATCTCCAATTTCATCACACTATGGTCTGATAATACACATAACTTCATTTCCTTTGCACTTACTTAAACATGTTCTATGAGTGAGTTGTGGTCTATTTCTGAGAACAACCCATGTGAAGCTGTAAAGAATGTGTATTTTGTTTGTGGGGTGGAACACTCTGTTAACATCTGTTAAGTTCATTTGTTCAAGAGTTTGATTGAGTTCTAGTATTTCATTATTGTTTTGTCTAGTTGACCTATTTATAACAGTGGGGTATTGAGGTCCCCCACTACTGATGTATTAATGCTTATTTGATTTTTCATGTCAGTTAATATTTGTTTTATATAGTTGGGTGCACTAGTGTTTGGTGCATATATATTAATGGTTGTCATCTCTTCCTCTTAGATTGTTCCATTTACAAGAATATAGTGTCCTTCTTTGTCTATCTTAATCAGTGTTGGTTTGAAATCCACTTGATTTGCAAAGAGGATAGCTACTTCTGCTTTTGGGGGGGCCCAAATACTCCTGTCTCATACTGTATTGTTTTCCACCCTTTAACTTTCAGTCTATGAGCTTCTTTTTTAATTAAGTGTGTTTCTTGTGTGCAGCATATTGTTGGACCTTGCTTCTTGACCCATTCTGCCACCCTGTTTTGTTTTGTTTTTTTTCCTACCAGGGATCCAACTTAGATCCTTGCATTTGTGAGGCAGGTGACCACTGAGGAACCACTGAGCCAAACCCCCGGCTCTAATCTATTTCTTTTGATTGGTGAATTGAGACAATCAACATTGATGATTATAACTGATATGTATTGACTTATCCTTGTCATGACTTTTTCATTTTGTTGGATTCTCCCCCTTTATGTTTAATTTCTGTCATGCCTGATGGATTCATTCTGCTGGGCTTCCTGGGGTTGTGATCATCATTGTCTTTTCCTAAGATATTGTTTGAAATTTTTTGGAGTGCTCGCTTGGTATTCATGAAGTTCCTAAGGTGTTCTTTGTCATGAAAGTATTTTGTTTCTGCTGGGTATCTTTCCAAAAGAATTAAAAGAATCATATCACAGTGATATATGCACAGCTATGTTTATAGCGGCATGGTTTATAATAGCTAAAACTTGGAAACAGCCCATTTGCCCATCAGTTGGAGACTACTGATGGAGTACTACTCAGCCATTAAGAATGAGAAATTAGAGTCATTCATAGGAAAAAGGATACATATGGAGGATATACTCCTAAGTGAAATAAACAAGTCACACATGTGTAAATACCAAATAGTTTCTCTGGTGTGAAAAACTATAATGGTACATAAGATCCTAATGATATAACTGACAATGTGAAATAGGAAGAAAAGGGCTAAAGGTGTAGGGGAAGTGGGAAGGGTAGGGGAAAGGTAATAAGGGAAAAGAAAAAAACATGAGAAAATGAAAAAATGGAAATAAAGTATTTGTAAATAGGGAAGGGAGGAGGAGGTGAAGGAAAGGCAGGGATAAGGGGAAAAAATGAGAACCAAGACCTGTCATGTAAATGTACAAGATCCCAATGATGAATATAACTGTGCTGAATACCTAAAATGTGCCAATAAACTCAATGAGAAAAAAAGTATCTTGTTTCTCTGTCAATTTTGAAAGATAGTTTTGCAGCATACATCAGTCTGGGTTGGAGGTTGTTTTCCTTTAGGGCTTGAAATACAGGTGGCAGAACCACTAAGCTAAATCCCCAGCCCTTCTTTTTAGTCCTACTTTCATGTGATGAGCTGTAGAATACAGAGTAAAACTTAATAAACACTATATGCTATGGAAAGAATCATTTGACAGCCTTTCAAAAAGTGAGGAGGCAGCTGAGTATGGTGGCGCACACCTGTAATCCCAGCACTGAGAAGGCTGAGGCAGGAGGATCTCTATAAGTTTGAGACCAGCCTGGGCTGCACAGGGAGTTCCAGGTCAGTCTCAACTACATAATGAGACCCTGTCTCAAAAAGTTTTTTTTAAAAAGTAAGGATGCCTCAACTCTACCATCAATTAAAACTTGATCTTTACAAGTAGAGCCAGACATCTGTAGTTTTAGAAAATCTTCCAACAATGATTCTGATGTACAGTGAGGATTGAGAACCATGTGTCCTCAGGGGACATGTACAAATCTATTTCATACAGTAATATTTGTATCAAGTAACTGGAAGCAACCTAGATATCCAAATATAAGGCAAAAGAAAAACACATATTGATATATCCTATTAAAATGTATGAAGGAAATAGATCCAAACATAGCTTAAAAATTGAACCCAAACACTGAGTGAAAAATCAAGTTGTAGGACAGAATAGAATATTTGTCTAAAATTCAGAAAATATCCAAAACAATGCATATATATAGTAATGAAATATAAAAAACATGGACTACACAGAAATTTCATACATTTGGTGATAAGTAATAAAACTATGTAAGACAACAGAGATATCTTCAGTATTATCTGAATTGTTTTGTCTCTTTAACCAAAATTTAATGTCTAAGACTGGGAGTCTAGCTCCATGGCAATGATTGCCTAGCATGTCAAGATCCTCAGTTGGATCCCTAGAGCCACAATAAAATAAAATGTAATATTTAATTTAATTTAATTTTAAAATATCTGAAACAAAAAAATGACAAAATGTTATACTTTTTACTTTTCTCATAGTTTCCAAAATTTAAAAATAGTGACCCAATTACTGACTAGCCGTTACCATATTAGTTTTTATATTTGGCTATCCCAGGCTCCTCTGAAGTATTAAGCTACCATTTAAATAAATTTCTGTTTGTAAAGAATCAGAAACCTGCAACATTTTTATATTGAGATACTGCATTAACATTTTAGCTTCTGTTTGTTTATAATATTAGAGGCAATGTAGCAGCTAAGAGCTTCCATACACTTTAGAAGATTCTGGATATGGGAATGAGATTGGTCTGTTTAAGGCACTGAAAGAAAACTAGTATTGCAAAAGCATAAAAAATGACAGTGATTAGTGTATGTTGAGTTGGAGAGGCTGGTAGCAATCATGATAAAAAGAGTGGACTTTATTTCACTTATAATGAAAAGCCACTGGAGTGTGTTAAGCAGGAGAGTATGTTAAGGTGAAGGTTATGGCTAGAAATCTTTATTTACTACTAAACTCAGCAAAGATGCTTAAAAATCTGTTCCTGCCACTTTACATCCAATACAGATCCCAAACCATTCCTATTTTCTGTCTCCAGCGCTCAAACTGCTCTTAGTTGTGGTCACCAGCAATGTTCACATTGGTTATTTTTCTATCTCTTTTTTAGCTTCTCAGCACAAGTCAAAACTTTTAATCACTCTCTGGTTCTTTTAATGTTTAAAGTACAGTATCTGCCTTTAGGAACTTGATATTACAGAGGGCTTTAAGGAATATAATACAAAGGCATTGTTGGGCCAGGCATTTAGCTCAGTGGTACTGTGCCTACTTTGCAAGTGCAAGGTCCTGAGTTCAATCCCCTGTACCAAACAAACAAAGGCATTGTCAACTCAGTGTAACCCTGTCCTAGATACAAACTCGAATATCACTGTACTGTCTTACCCTAAATTTCTTTGAATTCTTCAGTAACTTACTCCTGAGTTAGTTTAGTTAGACGCTGTGTTTCTGTTCCTTCTCAACTGTATCTGGACTACACTATGACAACCCAAATGGAAAGTTGGCTGCATTTTTTTGCTTTGCACAAAGTGAAAAAAAATCAGGTGCAATCTTTGAGTTTGTAGCAGATTAAAACTGAAAATTTAGGGAGACAGAGGTTTACATTGCAGAATATAAATAGCTAATATAAATTACTAGATACCTGTTCTTAAAAGTCCTTTGACTTTTTTCAAAAATCAGGAAGTAGTATTCTTTCAAGTTGCCCTGTTGCCAAGTTACTTTTGCTACTTTTTTTTTTTTTGAGAAGGAAAAAAATTTTTTCCTCTGAAATTTCTGAATGAGAATTTTTTTTTTCAAAGTTTGTGTAAGATTTTTTTCAGGAGAAAAAAAAACGTTACCCATGAAAATTTGACTTTATGATGAAAATTTCACTTTAGCTTCAACCTGTCGAATATCCATAAATATTATAAGTTTTAAAATTCATAAAGCCTTGTCTGATTACCCCAGTCTGTTGAGAAAAAATATGATTTCATTCTTTCAGTTCCAGTTAAGTTCAAGGCTCTCTCGGAACCTCATTCATTCTAGGGATTTAGGAGAGGCTTCCCAGACAGGGTGGTAGCCTAATGTGGACTAGAAAAAAGGACCTGGAAGGAAAGACCAAGGGAAGACTCAAAGACCAAGGGAAAAATAAAGCTGAGGAATTAAAAAAAAAAATCAGAACCCATAAGGGCTTGCTTGCCATGTAAAAGGTCTTCGTTACTGTGCTGCTTTTCAGCCTGTAGTTGAAAATGTCTCTCAGTGTTTTTTGCTTTGGTTTGGTTTTGGTTCGTTTTTATGCTAGTCTATTCCCATCTTCTTTCTGTTTTCCAGAAATCTTTCTAAGACTTTTGGTCAGAAATGACATCTTCCCCAATTCTCCACTGCTACTCTGAATTTATTCTTACTTTTGTCTACCATTGTTTCAAAGTGAAAAAGAAGAAAACAAAAAGGAAACGTGGACTCTTGAAGCAGAAGTGCTTCTCTATATTAAAATGTGTATATCTTGTGATCCAACAATTCCATTTCTAGGAATAGATCCTGAGGCAAATGGTATTTTCCAAAAATCTCCTATTCCACATGCTCTTCTGCAGTGTGACCTTGGCAAGGTTCTAGGAAGTGAGTTTGATTTGATATTTTTTAGAATAAAACTGACCTATCTTTAACTAATGAAGTATGGTTCATACTACATCTATTTTTTTGGACAATAGCATTGTTCCTTTATATAGTTACTCTAAATTCTTTAAATGAATATAGTCATGTTTCATTTTCAAGAATACTGACACAATTTAAAACCCTGCTTTGATTTCCACAGAACCTATTCTTCAGTGGAATCTTGGAGATGAAATGTCATCACAAGAGATCAATGCTTTACATCCATACGTGGTAGATCTCAAAGTAACAAAGTGCCCCTGTGCCAATGATATGGCATTACTTGGCTTCCTTTTGAATACAATGTATAATGGTAAGTCTATAGCTTTTTTTTTTTTTTTTTTTTTTTTTTTTTTTTTTTTTTTTTTTGGTACTGAGGATCAAACTCAGGACCTTGCACTTGTGAGGTAGGCAGAGGCACTGCTGAGCTAAATCCCTGGTCCTCTACAGCTTTCTTAAGAGTTGGAAGTAGTATTTTGTATTTACTGAAGATGATGTTTAACTGGTTGTGCAAACTAAATGCATTGACAGAGTGAAGTAAAAATATTTCCTAAAAATACCTACAAATTTACCCTTGTCTCCACTTGTCTACTTGCAAGTAAGGTATACAAAAGATATCTTTGACTGTGACTTTTTGCAGTGTAAATAGTGTCTCTCCTCATTTCTTCCCCTTTCAGTGTGTTACTTTTTCCTAGACATTATTCATTATTTCTAGTCCATCTGCTAATTCTGCCATGTATAAATAGGTATTATTATCCCTGAGATATCACATGTTATTTACTATACATGTTTTTCCACCACTACCATAATATATAATAACATATGTATGGGAAAAACTGATTTTCTATATATTGTCATTTATAACATTCCTGACACCAAATGTGTAGATTTTCCACACCCAGAAAAATCTCTGTTTCTCTGCAGACAACAAGTGAATGTCTTGTGATTTAATTCAGTGCTGGCATTAGCTATCTGGAGTTTATACAGACCCCCTATGGCTTGAAGGCCCAATCCCACAAGACTCTGCCCCTGCCCCCACCTTCAGATGCCAGGCAAAATTCCAGATTGTGACCTGTAATTCAAACCACCCTGCTATAAATTGGAGAGTTCCCATGACTCATCCCACCCTACTGTTTGTTCAGTAATTTGTTAGAACAGCTCATAGAATGGAAGGAAACATTGTCTTACATTTATTGGCTTATTATAAGGAATATTACAAACAATACAGGTAAACAGCCAAATGAAGAGGTACATAGGGCAAAGTACCTTGGGTGAAGGGTCCAAAGCACAGAAGTTCTGTCCCAAGGTGTTGCATTATGCCATCTTCCCAGGACATATATTCACTAGCCTAGAAGACCTCTAAAGCCTTGGTTCAGAGATGTTTATGGAGAGTTCATATCATATACATGATCAGTCCTTAAGTCGATCTCCAGTCTCTTGCCCTTCCAAGAGGAAGGTATGTAGGGCTGAAAGTTTCAAGCTTCAAATTATAATTTTGTTTTTCAATGAGCATCTCCATCCTAAATCTATTGGGATTCCATCATAAGTCATCTTAAGAAGACACAAGACACTCCTGTCACTCAGGAAATTCCAAAGGATTTAGGAACTCTATAACAAGAACCAGAAACAAAATCCAAATGTGTATTTCTTATTATATAATAAAGTCACATTCTTATTACATATATCAACTACTAACAGTGTTCTGTTTTCCCTGGCAATTAATGACAGCCTAGTCCCAAATTCCAATTAATATTCAAACAAAACATTTTTAAATTTAAAAAATCTTATCCATAGATAATATATACAACATAAAATTTCAAATGGATCCACAGAAAAACAGAAGAACTATGAGAGTGTTACAAGGATGTGGTATATAATAATCTAGAAAAAATCACATCACCAAAGACTAATCCAAGATTTTCATTTTTTTTCATTGTTGTTATGGTGGTGGTAGTGCTGAGGATTGAATTCAGGGCTTCACATACATTTGACAAGTGCTCTATTATTGAGATAAATCCCCAGGCTCAAGATTGTAATTTTTAAAATCTTGCTCAAAAGATAACAGATCCCAGAAAGTATCTAGGAAATAAAAGGAGAGAAACATAGTTACAAGGCCTGTTGTATAGAAATTCTAAAACCTAATGCAGGCTATAGAAAAAGATTAAAATAAATAAAATATATCATTTTCATGATTAGGGACTTCTAGTATTGTAAAGATGTTAATCTGCTCTAAATTGGGCAATTAACTCAATAACAGTGCCCAGAAAAATTATAACAGTGTTTTTGTGTGGTTTGTGTGTGCATGTGTTTTGTTACTGTAGAAATCAACAAGTCAATCTCAAAATTCATGTGAAAAACTGACAATCCATAAAATATATAATGTTAATGAAGAATAAAGAAATTTTTGTCCTACCATTTGTAATAACATAATAGATTAAAGCAATGTACATTGGTATAGGAATAGACAAATAGTCTTGCCCCAAATTTCTTAGACTTTCTAATGACCCTAACAGTCTGTTATCTATCTCTAGCTTTGAGTGTCTGTTTCCACTGTATCAGTTTAGTTATAAGTCATATGTTCTTCTCCTCTCTTGTGTCCTATACTATACCAGTGGTGGCTCGGTTCACAAACTTAATTCTTTCCATGATTCTAGTCACAAACTGAATTAGTCAAGAGACTAATCAAATTTCCCATAAGGTCAACACTGAGTTTGATTCAGTTCTTGACCCCTTCAATTTGTGACCAGAATGGTGAAAAGAACTAAGTTCACGAACCAAAGTATTGCTGTATTCCAATCCAGATGGAAATTCGGCCCTTTTACCTTTTTGTTCTGGGAATACCAGGCTAGTACTTCATTCTACTCTTTTTCCAAACGCCAATACCTGCCTACCTTCCTTCATGAGCCACAGCACAGGAGTCACTCTCAACACCTCATGCTCAATCCTGCCATACAACTGAGAATCACAGAAGGGAAGGGCAGTCCTAATTTCCTGAGACCACACTCACCAGATCACATCAACTTTTTAAGAAAGAATTAGTTTCAGCAACCTGTTTTTTAGATGAAACTATCTTTTCCCCAACTAGCCACTGTTGTCTTGAAGCAAAAACAAAAGTCACCACAGTATGAAGTTGTGTGTGCGCGTGTCTTTTTTTGGGGGGGAGGGGGCACCAGGGATCGAACTCCACCTTGCACTTGCAAGGCAGACAGCAGAACCACTGAGCTAAATCCCCAGATAACACTTTTTCACAACTTTTGTTTTAGTATATGTACTGCTGAATCAAGCACTGTAAGATCCTTGTTAACCCTCCTGGTGTTCATAGAATGTGAGGTTAATGGTGAGCTCCATTTTGGACTTATTATCCCTGCTGGCTACGATAGAGCACCTTTAAGCTTCTAGCTTAATGCCTCTGCTTTCTTCTCTATCATAATTTCTGTCACTGACTTTACTATACATATCCTCATAATACCTAGTTTCAAGGCTTCAGTTCACTTCTTTAGTCGTGTTCTTCACCTTATCATCTCTAATAATGTCACTATCTCCAAAATCTCTTCTACAAAAATTCACACTGTGTGCTACCTCCTATTCTTTCTATCTACCTCTGGACTCCAACATTTCTTTGGCCTCACTGAGACTTTGATTCATTCTCTAGACCCCTTTTTTTACTACCCAATATTGTTTTTTTCTTTCTTTTTATAATTTATGAAAAAACAAAAGTGCATAACAAAATAAGAGAATAATTTATTAATACATAGTCAATACACTGTTTATCATCTTAAAAGTAGTTAAGTCAGAGTATAAGATATAGATAAAAATACTTACAGAGAAACAAGCATTCTTATCCTCATCAAAAACATAGTCTTTTCCTTTATGGTGGTGTGATTAAAAAAATGGTATGTTTAATTTAAAAATGTATTACAGTAAAACATACATTGCTGTCAATCCCACTCAAAATGCTTCCCCTGCTTTGAACACACGTAACAAATTGCTCCTGCCAACCCCTGAAGAAGCTCTAGAAGTCCCAGTTTGTGAATGACTTCAGGTGGGCTATAGTAGCTGCCTCAATGTCCTGAACTAATTCAAAACATTTGCCTTTTATGGTCATTTTGACTTTGGGGAAGAGCTTTAAGTCACAGGGTGCCAGATACAGTGGATAAGGTGAATAAGGGCTCACTATAATGTTTTTATCAGCCTTCTCTTCTGTTGAGACACCCTGTGGCAGCTTTTGATCATACCTCAAAAAGAGACTCTTGAAGAGAGGACTTTCAGATCTGCCTCAGAAAGCAGCAAGAACAATGAGACAAGCGTTCACCAAGTGAAAGGAATAACGGCAAGATATCCCTCACTGCAATTAGAAATGTTTTATTTTTTATTTTATTTGTACACATTTACAGTTCATAGTTTACCGTCATCTTGAGCAATGTTTACATGTACATTTCACAACATGTTTCTTTCTTTTTTTAATACCCTTCCCCTTCTTTGCCCTCCCCTCCCTCTTCCTCCAGTTCTCCTATCCCAGCTTTCATTCCTGTTGATATTATTTGGTTTAACTCATGTTGTGGCCTAAAATGTTTACATCAATTGGGGTTATTAGTTTCCTGTACATGACATATATTTATTCTTCATATTTCCTTTCCTATGTGTACCTATTTTCTTTCTTTCTCTTGCCTCATTGCTTTGGCTAATGTTTCTTCTTCAAGTGCTATGTCAAATAGCAGAGCTGATATTGGACATCTTTGTCTTGTCTCTGATTTTAAAGGGAATGCTTTTAGTTTTTCCATATTCAGTATGATGCTATTTGTCATAAATAGCCTTTATCATATTCAGGTATGATATGTCTATGCCCGTTTCCCTCAGGGTTTTTATCACGAAGGGGTGTTGGATTTTGTGGAAACTCTTTTCTGTGTCCATTAAAGGACCACGTGGTTTTTTTACCTTGCTCCTCTTTATGTGATGCATTACACTTAAGAGACTTAGGATGGTTTGTTCAACCATCCTTGCCTCTCGGATGAAACCTACTCAATGATGTATTTTTTTATAATGTGTTGCATTCTATTTGCTAATATTTTATTGAGGATTTTCTACACAGCTATCTTAATGCTGTATTTTATTTTGTTGTGTGTTTTTAGAAGCCTCTTATTATTTGACTCAAAGCATCATATCTTCCCTTATCCAAAATGACAACTTCAGTATGGATTCTTTCTCAAGGCCATGTGAGGCTATTTTATTTCTCTAACAGCTTACATTTGTCAAACTTCAAAAGGACAAATAAGCTCCATTAAAAAATTGTTAAAGCTGATCTTAAAAAAAAGGAGGAAGGGGGCATCATTTTAAAACAACAAAGCAAAACCACTCAGAGTACTCAATGGCTACATGAAATTTTACCTGAATTAATTACTGAATTAATTGCTACCCAAGTACTGTTGCTACCCAGTGTTCTTATTTTCCTCTTCCTTCCTCATAATTTTTGTATTCCATCTTTATAAATATTCTTTGATGTCTCTGCCATTTTTCTTCCTTGCACAACCAACTCTAATTAAGACCATCTGCGCTCCTGAAGAGTATAGCATTGCTAGAAAATAAATACTTACTACTCTCACTTTAAAGCTCCACTAACTGGTCTCGATTCATGATTATAGATCTTGGGGACACTCAGTACTGGCTAGACATCCTTTCATTTTTCCCTGGTATATTTATTTTCCTACTCTTCAAGATGAATTTATCACTTCTCTCCCCACTCCTCAAATACTCTACTTCACCTACTTCACCTTCTTTCCCTCTCTTAGCTATCTTTAAGTAATACTTCATAGAAAAAAAATGAAGATTTATCACAAGGAACGTTTTTGCTGTTGTACCTGCAAGTTGTCATTCTACCTGCATTCATGTTTGCATGCTTTGCTTTTTTGCTTCACTCATTCATTTTCAGAAGTGTCTGTGCTACTATCAAAAGCCACCCCTCATCCCTTGTGTCTTGGATTCCATTCATCCCAGGCATCTGGAGAACTTTGCTCTTGCATTTACCCTGTAGTTCTCCTTTTTCTCCTGTATCACCATGCTCACCTTCCTTACTAGATCTTATTTATTAACATTCTAACCAGCAAACCTACCTCAATATCCACCATCTTAAAATATTTGCAGCATTTTACTCCCATCCTTCATTCCTCTGTTCTTCAAAATGAAGTTCACGGAAAGAATTTATTATAAATGGTGCTAGCTATTCACCTCCAATTTTATTTTCATTCCACTACAAATCAACTCCACCAATCTACCTGAATAGTCCTTCTCAAGATCACACATGATCTTGTGATATTGCCAATTCCAACAGCCAATTCTTTTACTTTATTCTACTTACCCTCCCAGCAACATTAAAATAGTTGGTTGCTCTTTCTTCAAAATACTTTCTCTTCTTGGCTTTCTTGTCACCACCTTCACTGCCTTTTATCTTACTTTACTTGATCACTTCTTAGTTTTCTAGGTGACATCTAAATGTTGATGAACCTAGAATTTTGTCATTGATTCTCTTTCCTTTTGTAAACATATTCTCTCTTTATAAGACTAAATTGACTCTTACGGTAATAATGCCATCTACAGGCTAATAATTCCCAAATCTCTATGGCTAATCTGTTTTACATTTCTTCTCAAGGTCTAATAATGAGTATCTCAGATGGAACAAGTCTAATCCAGAACTCCTGAGTCATCACCTTCTACAAGTGGCTCCTATCCACTATTCCTTACCTCAGTAACATCCAGTTAGTCAAATTAAAGCACAGTATACATTCTTTGCTGCCCTCTCACAGTATTCAAGAATAATTCTACAAAGCTTTTGTACATAGGGAGAGGAGGGAGCTTTGGGGGGGAATGGGATAAAATGAAATAAAATTTATTTTTAAAATGAAAGAATGTTTTAAAAAAAGAATAATGCTACTGCCAGAGTCTATCCTCAATGTAACCATTTCTCCCTCTGCTAAAATCTTGTCAGCTCAGCAGTGTATCTGTTACTATTTCACAACCTCTTAAACAGTCTCCCTACTTCTGCCCTGCTACAATTCATCCTCCATACAGACATCAAAGTGATATTCTCAAGTCAAGAATCTATTCATTTAAATTAGATCTCATCTCTTCTCTTCTTCAAACCTTCCAGTAGCTTCGCTTTGCCACTAGAAAAAAAGTCAAATTCACAGCGGTTTACATCGACTTTTATAAACCTGGGATACAATTTTGAACAATTTTTGACATCACAAGTTTGTCATAGTGAGTGGCCTATAAATTAAGTTTGGTCTAAAAATATTAACCAGTATAATTTTTTTTTGTTTTTTTGTTTTTTTGTTTTTCAAGACAGGGTCTCATTGTATAGTTGAGACTGACCTGGAACTCAGTATGTAGCCCAGGCTGGTCTCAAACTCACAACGATCCTCCTGCCTCAGCCTGAGTATAAAATATTTTTATTGCTTATTTTGCTATTAAATATTTCTAAACTTTGCAGGAGTCTAGTTATATGATATCATGCTAGGCACCCATAATTCCAACTTACACTAACACATAGTTATTTGTAAAACTAGAAAGACAAGGCTTAAAAAGACAAAGCTTATCTTTTTTTGTTTTTGTTTTCGTTTTTGTTTTTTGAGACAGGGTCTTACTATGTAATTGAGTCTGACCTGGAACTCACTATGTAACCCAGGCTGGTCTCAAACTCACAGCGATCCTCGTGCCTCAGCCTCTGGAGAGCTGGAGCTTATCTTTAACTTTCCTCTTCCTGGAAAAAGTAGACAATAATAACATTTCATTTTACATATTTCTTTATACAGAAAAGAGCTGAGAGTTAAAATATATATGTCCAAATGTGACTTGTCTAATATTTATCTTATGGAATAAAGTATATGCATTCAATTGTCAAGTGTCTGTAGCACCCTCCATTCTCAGTAGTTATGCCTGTTGACAAAATATAACATTGACATTAATGTTAATTAATATAACATTAAAATAGAAAAGACTCAATAATCCCAACTAAGGCCAGGGATTGGGGGATACAGTACTTGCAGTATTTGCAATGTTCAGCCTTTTTTTTAAAGTTCTCATGAGGCTTTAGCAAATAAGTTTTCTATTTTTAATTCCAAATATTAAAGTAAATCAAAGTTTCTTCCCTCTTAGAGATTACATTTTAATTATCTTCTTTGGGATTCTTCTATTGTTGACTGCAATTGTACTCCTGAGCTAGAAGCATATTTATGTTTAAAAGAATATTGTCAGGGAGAAAATATTTCCTCTATACTACTATTCTCGGTAATTGGGGAGCCCTGAAAATTAAACTAACAAAAGATAGATTATCATAAGAAAAGGCATATAATATTTATTAATATTTACATGAACAGAAATGCATAGAAAAGAAATAATTCTAATGTTTAGACTTGTAGTTTATATACCATTTTGACAAGGGAAGAGGGTTGGGCTTCAAGGGACAATAAGTTGTAATGAAGTCACTAGGAATTACATAAGGAAACTAGTACAAGATAAGGGTTATTTTAATAATGTCTGTTTCTACAAACTAGTGGTATCTTGTCAGTGTTTACTAGAAAAACAGATATAATACAAGATACATAAATATGTAAGAATTTACAAGATTGGCTTACAATGGCCAAACACAGAGTCAGATGAGGAGGAGTGCAGAGGGTCTCTCTGCACACGGGAGACTGCAGTATTCAGTTGAAGGTCTGGAGATCACTGCTGTGTCCCATGCAAGTTCATATTAAGAGGCTGATGAATCTACAGTAGAAGGCTGAAAAGTCTGCACTGGAAAACAGGAGAAGATGTCCAAGGTGAAGGCAAAGACTGGAACGCCTCCAAAGAAACAGAAGCAGATCTGTTCTCCTTCATTTCCCCTTTATACTATCCAGATGACAAGCATGCTAGGGTGGGTCTTCCACACAGTAGAGTGTGGAGTTGTTGAGCCAATTTAGTTGAGCTTCTCTTACTCAAGTTGTTACAATCAATCAACCATCGCAGTGTCCTTTCCTCATTTCCAGCGGCTAGAGCAAGAATAGTGGGTTGAAATACGGAACAGATTCATGCTCTTGTTCCTGAAGGCCCCCACAATGTAGAAATCAGGGATTAGCTCCGCAAAGTTGCCAGATTTTAATTTTCTTTTTCTTTCCTGGTAGGTGTTTACATAGGCCTCAGCACAACTGGATTTGGGCAGTATAATGATACGGTGTGGTATAACATGACAAATATCATCTATTCAAACCTTCGAAGAGGTAATTCCTATGACTACTTTCAGCTTTAGCATTTCAGCATGAAACACACTTGTCTCAGCATTCCTGACACTTTCTGCAGCAATTTTGGAAGTTCTCTTTCATGAGTGTCTTTAGTAGCACTGTTGTGGCTTCCTCGATATCCTGAATCAATTTAAAACTTTTACCTTTTATGGTCATTTTGATTTTGAGAAAGAGCCAGAGGGTGCATGGTTTCAGATCTGGTGACTAAGGTAGATGAGGGCACACTGTAATGTTTCAACGAGGCTTCCTTTCTGTTAGATGTCACTGGGCAGCAGCACTCAAGATATTTTTTCATGGGTAAGGATACCCATGAAAGAGGACTTTCAGAACTGCTTCAGAAAGTGGCAAGAACAAAGGCATAGTTGTGTTGAAGCAAGGGGACATATTTTGAGGGGCATTAATGGCAATGTGTCTTTTTACTATAATACATTTTTACAATTTAAGCATTCACTGTATATTTTGATCACTCCTTGTATCTTAACATTTGATCCGTATTTATGAAATGCCTTTGCTTTGCCAAAAGGCTTACTTTTTAACTTTTTAACCCATGGTATGGTTTCTTCCTTTAGAATACACCGGATTATCAGTGATGGATATGGTTTTAACAAATCATTTTCTAGTTCTCCTTACCTCTTTGGGTCTTTTTATAAGTGGAGATCTTCGTTACCCATCAGCAAAAGAATTAAAGGTATGTAAGTTACTTTATAACTAGTCATTAACCATAAATATCTTCTATGACAAAGCAAAAAATTACAGTTTCTTTTGTTTTTTCTCTTCTAGCTTTCCAGGGCAGAATTTTGTGGTTTTGAAAGGGTAAGAAGTTTTACAAGGGCTGGTTAGAAAATACTTGTTTACTTGGTGACTGAAGATGAGATGGAAGATAATAATTCCCAATATAGAGTATTTCTTTTACCATAATATTATGATTTACAGTACAAAAATATATGCACACATACACACATGCACTCACTTTCAGCAAAGATTAGGCAATTTGATTTCAAGGAAGATATGTTCCTCCTTGTTACAGAAGCCACTCTAATCCCTTTTGTTGTATTCTGTATAGAATTGCTATGCTGTCACCCCAGAAAGAATGACTGCTATCAGGAAATCAACCAATAACAAATGCTGCCAGGGTTGTGGGGAGAAAGAAACCCTTCTCCATTGTTGGTGGGAGTGCAGTCTGGTGTAACCACTGTGGAAATCAATATGGAGATATCTCAAACAACTAGGATTAGATGTCCCATTGGACCCAGCGGTCCCTCTACTGGGTGTCTTTCCAAAAGAAATTAAAAAATCATGCCACAGTGATATTTGCACACCCATGTTTATAGCGGCACAGTTTGTAATAGCTAAAACTTAGAAATAGCCCAACTGCCCATCAGTTGGAGACTGGATAGAGAAGATGTGGTTTTTGTATAAAATGGAGTACTACTCAGCCATAAAGAATGAGAAACTAGAGTCATTTATAGGAAAATGGATGCATATTGAGGCCATATGCTTAAGTGAAATAAATAGGAAACACATGTGTAAATACCAAATAGTTTCTCTGGTGTGAAAAACTAAAAGTGTAAATAAGATTCAAATTGTGTAACTGATAATGTGAAATAGGAAGAAAAGGGCTAAAGGTATAAAGGAAGTAGAAAGGTTAGGGGAAAGGAAATAAGGAAAAGAAAAAATAGGAGAAAAGGAAAGAATGAAACAAAGTCTTTGTAAATAGGGAAGGGTGGAGGGGGTGAAGGGAGGGCAGGAGTATGTGGGAAAAATGAGAACCAAGATCTGTCCTGTAAGGATATAAGATCCCAATGATGAATGTGACTATACTGTATACCTAAAAAGTACCAATAAACTCAGTGAGAAAACAAAGAATTGCTGTGATAGTTCAAGCTATATTTTGTATTAAGGTACCTGTTTGCAGAAAATAGAAGCTGGGCTCTAATAGTTTACACCCCAATCTACCTATTCTATTATTGCTGTGTTCCTACTGGAGAAAGGGCTTTTTTTCTATTTTACACAAAAGGCCATGTAATCATGCCATAGCTCTGCTTCTGGCCTTTTGAAGGATTTTTGTTCCATCAATTATCTGCCTTCACTGTTACAAAGCAAAGTTTTGTTATGAATCTAGCTGAAGTTAGGTCAATCCCATCAACATATGCCAGTTTGAATACTAAAAACAAAATTACAAGTATTCTACACTTTGATGTGTCCCTCCCCATTCTGTCACATGTGCACACAGGGGCATATGAACTTAGACCCAAGTTCACGATGGTTGCAAGAAAAGAGCACTTATTCCCTAAGAAGAAAATAGAACTGATTTATTGTCATATTAATGGGAAGAAAAGTGAAACAGAACTTGGAAGACCAGCTAGGGAAATATGGATTAACATTTAAAAGAACAGAGGGAATTACAGTTGGCTCTCCTATCTACAGATTTCCATCCATGGATTCAACCAACTGAAAATCAAAAATAGTAATGGAATAGTAATGCATCTGTACTGAGCATGTGCAGACTTTTTCCCTAAACAATACAATATGATAACTATAGCATTTAGATTATATTAACTATCATAAGTGATCTGGGGGTGATTTAAAGTATACAAAAGGATTGCATAGATCATATAAAAATACTATGCTATTTTATATAAGAGACAGCTTCTTCATATACTGAGAGAAGACTGTAACTGTCAAAACAGATTTTGGTACCTACCTAAACTATATCATTCAGGAATGAGGATGAAGAATATAAAGATATTTATCTTTGTGGAGCAATTACTTCACCCCCCCTTCAAGAAGGAATGGAACATCAGGAGCAATAGGCGAAAACTAGAACGTTAACTCTAGGCTCAGGAACCTAATCTGGGCTGTTCACTACAAGATTCCAGTGTCTAGAATAGTTCATAATACAAGGTATGTATCTGCTTGAATAATGAAACTGGCATGAAAAATACAGTTTTAAATTTTTTGTTTAATAGGTGTAACCAAAACTCTAGATAATATAACATTAAGTCAGAAAGGTGCAGGGGCTACGAGACTGCTGGAATCATTTGACTTCCACTTGGAAGAATCCCACTGAAGAGACCTAGATGAGTCTCCACTCTCATGAGCTATGTGATGCTGATGTGAACACGGTTTGACCCCCTGAAACTCAAGTTCACTGTGGAGGTGGTAGGAGGTGGGACTTTAAGGAACCATTAAGTCAATGAGACCAATTAATGCCTTTCTCCTGAGAGTGAGTAGATACAAAGCAAGACTGTCTCTAGTGTTTTGTCTCTTCTATACATTTTTGCTTCCTTCCACAAGTTGAAGCAACACAAAGCCCTCACCAGAAGCTGGAAAGGATGCCAGTGCCATACTTTTGAACTTCCCTGGACTCTAAAACCATGACCCCAAACAAATCTCATTCCTTTATAAGTTACCCAGTCTCAGGTATTCTCTTGTAGCAACAGAAAAATGGATACTGATACTGTTAAAGTTCAGATTTTAAATATCTTACAAAAGTCTTGTGTGTTTGAAAGATGACTGGCTCAGGGAACACTATACTCATGAGGGGATTCATCCATTGGTGAGTTCAGTAGTTGGATATACTATTGGAGATGGAGCCTGATTGCAGTGGGTCACTGAGGATGTGACACGAAAGGGTATATTCTTGGGTTTTTTTGTGTTAGTTGTTTTGTTTGTTTTGTCTTGGTTTGGTTTTTTTTTTGCGGTAAAAGGATCAAACTCAGAACCTTGTACTTGCCAGGCAGCCACTGAGCTACATCCACTGTAAAAGGGTATATTCTTGTCATTGGCTCCTTCCTTTTTTTTTTTTTCCTTCCTGGACACCATAATGTGCAGCTTTCCTCCTTCATACCCTCCATGCCATGTCTGCCTTGGAACCACCTGAGTATGGACTAAAGCCATTGAAACAGTAAGCCAAAATAAACCTTTCCTCCTTTAGGTTGCAGATGTTGCATATTTTGTCCAAGGAATGAGGATGAAGAATATAAAGATATTTATCTTTGTGGAGCAAACAGGAAATCTGGCTAATACAGAAAGTTGGTACTGGAAGTGGGGTTATTACTGTCCTGTACCTAACAATATGGTTTAGGAGCCTTTGGAACTAGATGTCAGAAAGAATTTGGAAAGTTTGGAAATGCTGGCTAGAGAAACCTTAGAATATTGTAAGCAGAAATTGATGAGAGATTCTGGTCAGAGCTGAGAAGGCTGTAATGTGTATAGGAATGTGGACAGTAAATGTAATGCTCAGAAGGTTTCAGATGTAAGTGAGGATCACAAGTTTGTCTACATATTACCCACGTCCTAAGACTTTGAAACTCTGTGGGATACTAAGAATAATGGTTGTAGACAATGGTTGGGAAATTTCAAGTCAGCCCAAAATTAAGGTTGTGGCATCAGTACTGCTGGCTGCTTTTAGTCAGATTAACAATGAGATCAGAAGAAAAACAGAGCTAAAAGATTTGAAAAGTTTACAGCTTCATTAGAAAGGAAGTACTTGCAAAGTTGGGGCCATGAAAACCATGGTTGCTGCAAATAATAATATTAAAAAGAGTCCAAACAATTTGCATCCAGACAATAGGAAAAATGGCTTGACTGCATCTCAAATTATATAACTCTCTGGATCTTAGTTTCTTCATTTTAGCATGAGTGTAACATCATGTATCTCTTAGAGATGAGATGGTTTTAAAACATTACAAATGAAAAACTTCAGCACAATACATGGTACAACGTTATAGTGTAAATGCCTCTTTTTTTTAAAAAAAATGTCACTATAGTAACCATTTTACTGTCTATATGTATCCCATAACATCATTTTGTATGCCTCAAAATTAAACAATAAAATTTATTTTTTACACCAAGATAGTTGAAACTGCTCCTCCATGTAAATGGTCATGACTTTTTGAAGGCAAATTATAGATATCAAACTAATTTTAGCAAAAAAGAAGCTATGGCTCATATTAATAGTAAACTTAGGGGGCAGAGGATTTAGCTCAGTGGTTCCAGCAACTGTTTTGCAAGTGCAAGGACCTGAGTTTGATTCCCGGTACCAAAAAAAAAAAAAAAAAAACAAA